AAATGTCACACCTGAACGCTCGCATCCTTTTAATTATGTTTGAAATTATGAACATTGCTCAACATCATGAAAATTAAACCTTATTTTCAATAAGCAATCCTGAAAAATATTTGGGGTGCTTAACTTTTTTCCAGGTGTATATTTTATTTGTGTATTAGAAATGTTCAAGGGACTTCACAATCGAGAAAGAGGGAAGTGTTGTAAGCTATACTTTCAATGTTTCAATTTGTATTGTTACGTCTCTGTGTTCGTTTGTTAATTTCCCGTATAATTTCTTTTGGATGAAACTTTTAGCGATACAAGTCCTTTCTTAAATAAAACTAGTTTATTCTTTCTCAATTCAACTTTGTAATACACTTAATTTCCACAGTCACTTTAAACACACGCTATAATTCACAATGATTCGTGCACTTACTTACGGTCACTACAGCGCTTGACTCAATTGTCCGTCTTTATCTCTGCCTGTCTGCAATTTAATTCTGATTAATTTGTCTCACGTTATCCGGCGCACTTATATACAGGAATAGAGGGCGCCTAGCACATACTGGATTATTCGTGATGTTCCCCGATCCTTCTAGAATATCATGACTTGTTACCAGATTCACGTGATTACCGCTGTCGTAAACGTATTGTTGCATCAGCGAGGTCTCGTGACTAGTATCACGCCACCCCCTTTCTAGAAATATCCTGTTTCTTCGTGAATGCCCTAGCATTTACTAGATTAGGGGTAGTCTGGTATATATAAGATGGTCACAACGTGACGGGATAATGTGTAGGTAGTGAGTAATTGAACTGTTACAAGAGATAGAAAAGGTCATGGACGGTCTAATTAAGGAAGGGATAGTCGGTCACAACGTGATGGGGAACAGTGCAATGAGTAATTGAATGTATGCGGAAAATATATTGTTGGCCACGTGAGACGTGAGCGTTTTTTGTGGAGCGACTGTTGAAATTAAGTGTATCGGTAAAGTTGTATTCGGAAAGAATAAACCAGTTTTATTTAAGAAAGGACTTGTGTCGCTAAAGTTTCGTTGGAACTTCGTTAGTTAATTTTCCATAAATTCCGAAGACGTAAAAATATATTAAAACAAGTCAAATGTATATGCAAATGTTTTTTACAATGCTGGTTATCACAGTTGTGTCCAGAACTTTAAATAATTGTCTCTTTTTCGTCAAAGTCCACACAGGCTGATTCAATCACTTTAAAACACAATTGGACAAAACAAATAATTTTTTCTCTACCCTTTTTTTTACAACAGGATCTTTAAATATTGCCACTATACACTCTTTATGGCTAAACTTACAATCACACAGTCTAGATCTAACTTTGAACGACATTTTCAGTGCATATTTACACCCCAACAGGGGTCTAGATCGTTTCACACACTATTAGATATTATGACACAATAACACTCAATTATAACAACAAGAAAAACTCAGAATGTTCTTGAATTATGATGCAATAATACAATAATTACCAATTTATAACTACTGAACTACACAACATATGATTTGCAGTTACATATACAAACCTGTGATAAACTATCACTTCTAAAAATAATTAACTCGTGTTATATAAACTATCAACTCGTAACTCTTGCATTAAACTTAAACTATTAAAGTTGGGTATATCTAACAGGGTGATTAATCCTCTGTAGCATCCTGTGCTTTCACACAGAAAACATCAATTTCTAAAACATTTTATTGTTGAACCAAATCTCAAAATTGCAGGGTTAAGTCACATCTGATAAATTTTAGTGGTTTAAATGTCATGCCTGCTGAAGTGATCTAGAATGACAAAACAAATTCTATAATTCTACAAGTATGACAAAAAAGAGTAATGGTATTAAAACTATATATGTACTATAATTTCTTATCATTACAATTTTCATGTGCAGTGGTCATCAACTAGTCAATATTTATAATTAACTCAACAGTCACATTGGTATTAATTATGAAGTTTGATAAAAATAAAATCACAAAGAACATTATAGCTACATTAAAGTATTGCCATAGCTTCAAATGTTACTGTATGAGTTTCAAAACAATATCACTGTTATTACATCAAACACAGATTAAATTTTATACCTTGGCAATTTCGCCTGTTGGGTGTTAATGTGTATCCTTCTGGGCAAACACATACAAAGGAGCCTTCTGAGTTTTGGCATGTCCCTTCTGAGCACAAATTCTCATACTCCACACATTCATTTACATCTAACACAAGAAACAACAACAAAAAATATGATTTAACTTATATAGCTAAAAAACTGAATTTTAATTACATTATAAACTATGTTATAAAAAACAAGTTGACTTAAAAAATCAAATGTGTTACAATAATTATTGTTCTTATGCATTTCTCCCTAGTCTGGAGACCGAAACTAAATGAAGGTGGTATAAACTTTATATACAATAAAAAAAACGTTGTTGTAGTATAATTTCAAGTGAAAACCTGAATATATTATTATCAATCAGCAAACTTTACAATCAGGTGCAAACAAGACAAAATTCTAGCAATTCCAAGCAAGTTGTTAAATGACTTACACAGCAGCATTGTTTGTAAAAATGGTACAGCATGGTGTATATTTATCTTATATTTACTGTGAAAACCCACAATACTTTTCTTCATCAACTTAAATACAAGTCATTTTTCTGTCCTAATATTATGTACTAGAAAAATGTTTTATAATTATTACAAAAACAGGAAAATACTTCTACCAAAGAGAAAAATTAGTTCAAATGAGCAGAAGCAAATTAAAATTTTCCTTAGTGTTTACACCTTGACAAATTTTCAAAGACAAATTTGAAAATTTATTCAGAAAGTAGGCAATTACTGAAATAACTGTGGGAAAGGAATGTTAAGTTGGAACTTATAAGATTATAATATATTTCTTTAAAAGTCAACAAGAAGAGTACAAAGACCTCACCAATACAGCTGCGCCTGTCTGAACTTAATTGGTAACCTTCTTGACACTGGCATTCAAAGCTTCCAATGGTGTTCCTACATCGCCCATTCAAACAGATCCCATACTGTGTTCTACATTCATCAACATCTTCAAAAGTAAGAAAATACCAATCAGTAAATAGCTTGTTTCACTTCTAGTTTTATATTATGATAATATGAATTTAACAAACCAACACTTATGCTGTATTTACATTTATTTTTAGGTGGAACATAGTACAATAATTTCATATGTATGACTCAAGTGTTAATGTAAATTAGGAATGTTATTTTGGCAATTGGTATATCCCCTTATTTAAATTATTTCCTATAATAAGTACAAAATGTATGCCAAGAAGAGAAATATATTATTTTGATTGAATGAAATTACAAAAAAAAAGGAATTATTTAACTTCTTGTGTTCTAAAGAAGAAAATGGTAACAAGAACAAGTGTATGTTAGCTGCACATACATGGAGCTTTGTTAAGTTTGTGCAAATAAGTAAATGGTAGAAAAGATATGTTTAAATGTACTTCAACTGTAATCTGGAAAAATACTGAAACTAAAAATATTCTCTGTCCAAGTGTCACTTAATGTTATGTTAAAGTAACACAAAAATATACACAAGAAGTAGTGGTTCTTAAATACACTCATTATATGAGTTGTATATTTTAAAAACCAAGATTCTTGTATGGTTAAAGCCATTACAAAAATTAATGAAAAATTCAATTATGGCAGTTCACAAGTTATGTATTTTGAATAATTCTAATAGTACTGTTGCATCATCGAGATCATGTGATTCTCATGCTCTCTACTTTCTAGAACTATCCTGTATTTTGGCGAATGCTCTAGTATTTACTAGATATAGGGTAGTCGGGTATATATAAGAGGGGGACAACGTGACGCGGTAATGTAATGTGTGTATAGACAGTGAGTAATTGAACTGCAGTCAGAGAGCACGAGAGACGTTACAGCGTTTGTTTAGCGTGATTGTTGAAGTTGAGTGTATCGGTAAAATTATATTCGGGAAGAATAAACCAGTTTTATTAAGAAAGGACTTGTGTCGCTTAAGTTTCGTCGGAACGAAGTTACGGAAAATCAATTAACAAACAGAGACGTAACAGTACTGTAAATGTGAAAAATTCAGATTATGGTAGTCCACAAGTTATGTATTTTGAATAATTCTAATAGTACTGTAAATGTTGTAAGTTTATTTCACATCAATTGCACACTATTATTTTATTTAGTTTGATGACCATTACATATGAACAAGAGTGATGTGTGAATGATGAAATGTTTAGGTAGGCATTACTTTCAGGCTACATTAATGGAAAACTGTATTCTAATAAAATGCATCACAATAAACCAGAATTATTTTATGGTAATTTTATTTGCCTACCTTAGTTTAAATGATTAACAAGTTCAGAATAATATAACAGAATAGAATATGATTAACACAGGAATCAGAAGAGTTTCTGATTAACAGCCTGTTCATTTAACCATTTGTTTTTTTACAATATAGTGAGTTTGAAATGATCACATGATTTTCTGGCTATTTTTCTAATGCAGATTCTTAAGGCCAGGTGTTGGCCTTCATTTCTCAATTACATTCATTTTTGTAAAAATAAACCTTTTAGAATTTCTTCTAACATTCAACATATATTCTTACTACCATTTGACTTATTACAATATTAAAAAAGCAATTTGTCGTTGCATTATTGTTACTTATAGTGAAAAGCATTCTAATGTTGAGATAAAATATCATACAACATCCTCCTGGACAAGTATGGATAACACAGACTATGGAGGAAAAGTAGCTCTGCCCTTTGCTTATTTCTAATCTATATGATTAGAAGTTCTGGCTACATCTAATTTGATTTCTACTAAAAATAACAAACAGACAGAATGAACTGAACAAATAGTAGTCAGTCAATCTTTGTAGAGAAAAGAAAAAAACACTGTAAAGAAAATCCCCATTAGATGCTAACTTTGTAGGCATTTCACATGTATCAAGCAGAATAGCATTTATCAATCTTACTTTCACAGCCTATTACCAAAAAAGCAAATACAAAATAATAAACAAACATACATTTTAAAATTATACTTTTTCAATACTTTTTCTTTCATGTATTTCCATGATTTAATATTTCGTATATCTTCTTCAAATGCAAAAAAAATGGAAAAATACTGACCATAACAATCTCCTTGTGATGTAATTTGAAAACCAGTATTACAGGCACATTGGTAAGACCCAGGTGTGTTTTGACAAGTACCATTGGAGCATATCCCAGGACTTCTGGCACACTCATCAATATCTGTATAAATTAAAACTCATCTGGATCATTCTTATAATACCAAAGAGTCAATAGAAGGATTGATCAAATTTTAAGGTTAATCAGAAAAAGATTAATTGTTATGATATTACAGACACTTGAATTTTAATACACACTTAAAGACAATCCACTGGACAATGGATATTCTCATACTGAAGTTTAATAATAATTTGAGCATACTAGTAGCACTCATCATGCTGTTAACATGAACTACAGCTCAAAGCTCATCAAAAAGCAAGAAAAATGTTGTAATCAGTTTTAATCTTTTTTTGTGTTGCAAAAATTAATAGAAAATAAGGAAATCCAGCACATAAGTAATGTCAATTTGAATTGTCACTGCAAGCTTACATATTAGAACTACTTCATCTTTTGATCAATCAGCTTGAAATTTTCTTTGAAAATGCACAAAGATTGGATTGAATAAACATCCAATAAAATGAATTTGTAAGAAAATGTTAGCTAAATTTTCAAATTTTTACTCTCTTCAGTGAGTATAATTTGGGAAGGTTCTACTATGAAATTACTTCATTACAAATAAACATAAAACTGAAAAGAAGAAACTAAAAACCAGAAAAAATTAAACTCAGATTTTAGAGAAAATTATGAGAGTTTAAGTTACACAGTAAGGCTAACTTTTAGAAATAAAAAAATTCACAACTTAAGTCTTGGATATTATACTTGACATGAGCATAAATTAAGCACCCAGAATTATATGAGGATTATATATAGGATTAAGTGTGTTATATTAAAATGGCTTTGGAACCTCATCACTTTGTTATACTCTATGTCACCATGTCCAGTCATGCTTTATATGAAAACAACCCTGCAGCATAATTTCCTTTACAAAAGCCTCTGACAAAAGGCTGTTTTGCCCGAAGCACACCATTGCTTTCTATTTGCTTTCCATAATCCATCTAGTGTACATGGACATGGTTTCCCAGTGCCATCCAATCTTACAGAAATCCACAGGTGCTGTGTCTGGCAAATTGATCTGTATTTTTTGTGTCAAATAGCATAAATAAACATTTATGCTGTTTGAAGTATATGATGGTTGAAAGGATATGTCACAGAAACAGCATGTATACACATAGCTTGTGTTACTTTTAGACACAGAAATCCTTTCTTATTATTTTCCATACTGTTGCCTGGGGTATGTGGATGGCTTTTGCCACTGACCTTTTTATTAATGGATTTCCACCCATTACAAGTTATAACACTTTGCTTACTATGACTGGGGTATGACTTTTTTGCAGATCTATTTCTGGCTGTTCCTGATACACAAAGACATGTTGGAATTGATATTGATGCATTAACAACCTGATTATAAGATGGAAAAGCAACATCGATAAGAATAGAGACTATTTCATTTAATAAATGTTTTGTTTTGATATATAAGTTGTTCAGGTTTTTTCATCTAAAAAAGTTACATTAATTTTTTGATGACCTACTACATCCACATGTTATTCATATCTTGTAATTTTCATTAACAGATAAGAAATGTCATCTTGTTTGATTTTTAGCCAGAACACAGTGCTTTCAGGCTTATGTGTTATCTTATTTATAGCCTGTTACTTACCCACACACTGGTCGCTATTAGGGGAAGGTTTGTAACCAATGTTACAAGTACATCGATAGCTTCCTTGAAGGTTGGAGCAGACTCCATTTGTACAAAATCCTTCTATTTCCAAGCATTCATCAATGTCTAGAATTAATCAATGATCTTAAAATTGGAGATTATATGATATATTGTACTCTCACTCTATTTTAGTCATATTAATGAAATTATAGATAAGCATGAAAAAAGGTAATTTTTCCCAACCTAAGAGTAAAATTTGCATAAATACTGACAAATGATAAATCATCACAATTACCTAATATAAAAACAACAAACAAACATATGAATGTTCACACAAAAATACATTAACTGAAGAAAACATACCTATACTCATGTTTTTTTTTAGAATTTCACTTGAACACTCCCAGTAAAAACAGCTCATCCTGCTTTGAAGTGAAAGGATAAACTGTGATATAAGTCAGGTGTTTAATAATTAGGAGAGTAATAACTATTATTAAAGTCAAGGTGGCCATATTTTTTCCCAATATTTTTTACTTTCCAAGCAAAATTTCCTCATACTCCTATCTAATTAAAACCATTTAGGCTTCTTATCTGGTTACAGAGACTAATAAAATGGAACATACTTAAATTCAGCCAACAATCTTACAGAAAAATATCTTCAAACAAGGAAACTGCAATGTGAAGGTAAATAATAAAATGTTGAATTTTTTATTTACAGAATAATATCTGATCTATCATCAAATATAATGAATTAAATAAATGTCATTAATGGAGTGACTGACTAAGGTTATGTTAAAATACATCAAACAGTTGCTTAGCTAACCTACATCATGGTTCGTATATGTGTACAGGTTCTGAGATAAAGAAAAAATTAGGGGAGCCACAATTTTCCCTAACTTTTCCAGGTTTTGGGATACTTTTCAATATTCCTTGACCTTTTGACCCCATTATAAATTTCCCGAGTTTTCTTACTTTTCAGGTTCATGGCTACCCAACTGCAGGAAATGTAACATTTTTTATTAAAGCTGAATAAGACATATTATTATGATAAAAAAATCTTAGTAATTAGCACAAATAATATATATTAAAAAATAACTTTGTTTATTCAATTAGGATTTTTTACTAATTTAAATGTAATTTTCAAAATGTACAAATTTAAAAAAAAGTCTTTATTCAGTTATGAACTGCCACACCTTTCAAATCATCTTAGTATAATGGACGTAGGTAGCATGTATGTCAGTATCTATGTGTGTAAACAAAACACCTGTACCATCTATTGAATCGCACTACAAACAAAAATCCATAAAATATTTCATACTTTGGGTATTCTTGATTCAGACAATTAGAAAAATAACTGATGTATGTGCAACAACTATTTCTTTATAATAGAACACAATTTTAAATAAAAGTACTCTCCTCACAACAAGAACATGACTTTCACTAGGATTGTACATGAGGGTTTAACTATATATTTATTGATGTAATTTTTAAATATAGCACTGAGAAACTGGAGTTCTTAAAAAACTATTATTTTTCCACTTTTAATATATAAAAATATTACAATTTATATCAGTAAAATTTATTCAAATTTTGAGCTTGGTACATTGAATCATTCTGATGCAATGAGCTGTGTATGACTATATAGCACAATCTGAACACTTTTCCCATGCAGTACTTCCCACAAAAAAATACTTTTTTTAGAAAATGTTTCCTTTTTATAAAATTGTTTTCAATGAGGTATGAATATTACAATCAATAATTACTAGCACAAAAAGCCACCCATATGGCAGCATTTCTGCTAGTTCATAAATAAGGTAAGTAGTACTTTAAATATTTGTATCTAAAAGTATTTTGATATGTTCCATCACTGTACTGTTCCTGGCTCATTTTCTTTTTTAATGTACAACCACACCTGTTGTTCATACCTAATTGCTTATTTCTAATTAAAGTTTATTAATCATAGTCCTTAAACTTTCAGTTTAAAAAAATAAAAGATTGAAGCTTATGTTGGTTGATTCATATGCACCAAATATTGTATTTTGAATTAACAAAATCAGGCAATCCTTACCAACACAATCCCTTCTATTTGCAGAAAGTTTATATCCCTCAGGGCATTCACATGTAAAACTGCCAGGAGTATTCACACATCTTGAGCTTCCACGACAAATGTTTATCCTCTCCAAACATTCATCAATATCTACCAACACAAAATTCTACAAATGTTACAAAAACAGGACCCAAGGTGATGTACTAGCTACTAGTGGATATACAAATGCACAATCAGACAAATTGACATGTTTGTACCATTGACATATAATCAAAATAAAGGTGATCAAATTGACATAAAATTGTGGGCATTTTCCAATATAAACATAAATGGTTTAACTGATGTTCAGGGTAGTTTTAATGGGCACCATTAAAAAATAGAACTATAAATATTAATAAGTAAGAACTGGGTTCGAAAAGATTCTACTAAACATTTGTGTTTTAAAAAGTACCATGCTGTTTGATGTGCATATGATCTTCAACATAATGGTACACACAAAGATAAACAGTTAAGGTTATCCAGTACACAACCAACATGCTGATAAGACAATAGAAAATACAGAAATAATTAAATCTTATTACTGGAACTGGAATAATGTTGATGCAGCATTAAGGAATTCATACTTTCAACCTCCTGGAAAATACTGTGAACCATGTAATGACACAGTGTTGCAACAGCTGTGGTCACTAACTACTGTCTTACTGATATACAGAAAGTATAACATCTAAGATACAAGTGCTAAGTTTTTCTAGTAACATTTATACATATAATTAATTCCTTATATATCCAACTGTGTATCATATATATAAAACAAAGACATAAAAGCTATGAATATCAAGGTCAAACTTTTATGGCACCCTATATTTCATGACAGCTAGGCTTGTGAGATTCCAATTTCTTTCATCTCCCTAAAGAATGATTTGAACTCAAGACACAAAATTGAAATGATCTATTAACTATGATAAAGCAATTGCTAGTGAGCACTTTTTGATGACTACCATGTTCTTCCCCTCTCACAAACTAGATCTTTCCTCAAGCCTTATCTCAAGATCATGGAACAACTTCACATTGCCACCAGTTTTTCTGTAGTAATTCAAGTTGATTTGTTTCCCTCTTAACAGTATTCAAACTTAGGATCTTGCATATGCTAAGCGAATGCTGCATGAGTTATGCTGAAGGATTAACTCACAAGCAATGACTAACAAGTCATTTTTAAAAAATCAAAAGCACACAGGCCCATCCACATATTTAAAAATATTTATAGCAAATTTCTGTCATGTCTTTCATTTGATAGTCCAACTATTTGCTGCTATGCTAAAATGACAGGAATATCCTATTCTTTGCTATAATTACTGATATAAAACAAATTAAATAGATGTGTAACTAATTATAATCATTATTATCACTTTTCTCTAACACACTGCACACTTAAAAACTAAGGGCTAATACTTGCAATATTTATTTTAATTTAGATTGATGTATATTTCTGAATGTTTGTCAACATTGAGACAAGCTAACTGTTGACTGGGTAAATTATTTTTTGCATGATTATTATTTGAGAGCATAGGATAATAATAGTTTATCTGCTTTGAATCTAGTAGTAGGATATTTGATTTTAACATCTTTTCTGCTTTTAGTAAACTAAATACTTGAATTAACAGACAAGTGTTCTATCTATCTGTCTAAGCTGCAGTCATCTCTCATTGGATGTAGCTCTCTGTCAGACTAGTCAAGTATTTCCTATTCCTTGCATACTGTGTCCCATTGATGCCTGCTTCCACTGCTATATCGTCCCTCCATCTTCTCTTTTGCTTTCCCCTTAGATATTTTCCCTATCCTAGGTTGCCGTTCCATTATTCTTAACGTCCACCTATTATCAGAATATCTTGCTACATGCCCAGCCCATTTCCATTTAGTTCTTAGAATGAACCTTACTGCATCTATTATATTTGCTGTTTTTCTTATTCTGTCAATATGACAAATATTGCTTATATCTAATGTTTCACAGACTACATTTCCATTTGCAAAACGTCGCTTCATGCAGTAAGTTCAAGACAATACTCTCAAATAAAACTTAAGTTCATATTTATCAATATATACACATCCTCAAAATCATGTTATTTATTTTCAGTATTTATGCAACCAGCATTTTCTCTATAATTTAAGAATGCTATTTAAAAGTTATCAATTGCAAATAAACAAAAATTCAAATTCATCAATCAAATTTAAACCTGTAAGGTAAGTAGAACTTTATGTTTCATAACTAAACGTACTTTAGAGAATTTTATTATTTTATAACATCAATGTTCTTGAAGCATTAAGGAATAATAACAATGTTTCACTTTTTTGAAATTCAATTTTTGGTATTCAGGTCTGATCAGACCTATTGATAATTACTGAAATGCCCAATGTGTACAAGAAATGACAGTAACATGCAGAACAGGATAAGACTTGGGGAGCTTAAGGCAGATTTTGTAGGGGGGGGGGGAGTCCTAATAACTGAACTTCATATATAAATCAAATTCAGTTCAATAATATTTATTAACTATAATTTGAGCCATACATAGACACAAGCAATGGGTATATAATAGAATACTAATTATAATATTTATAACATTTTTTATTAAACATTCAAGCAAATATTTATGAAAGAACAAGGTGTAAGAACATGTTAATGAAATATTACAACTAAGATGCATAACAGAAAGGATGAGAAAAGAAACTGATTAATACACTAATAAGCTAATATAGAAAAGTCATTCAGTATAATCAGTGTCATGGGCTAGATAACATAAAATTAAAAATAATAAATAACAAGAGTGTGTAATGTTTGTTTTAACCTAATAGTTTTTCATTCAGTAAACAAATTTCTTACTATTCATTAAGTGTAAGCTTGCTTTTCAATTTCAGTTGGATATTCAAAATACTCAACTGTAAATAATAAAATATCCCTCCCAAAACTTTGAATATGGGTTAAAAACCAATTTAATGAGAAAATTCTTGTTATCAAATGGTTTTTGCATTTGTATACCAAACATTACACCATTATGTAAAATTTTAAAGCACATTAGATAGCAATGCACCTTAAGTTTGCACCATTTGTTCAGGCCTAAATTTGTTTCTTGATTTTCATTGTACTTTTCAAAAACCTGAATGCCTAAGTTTTACCAAATGACTTTTTTGAAAGTCAAATTTCACTGAATGACATTTAGTAGTATTGCCAGTAAAAAAACGTTTAAGAAATAGTGTTTTAATATTTTAAATTTCGGGAACTTCTGAAAAAGTGAAAATACTTCTATATGGATAACCCAGTAAAAAAAATGTGTTTCTTAGATAATGCCAATTTGGAGAAACTGAACTCCTCATACTTTTTGCTTTCAAACTTTCCGAGTGTATATTTAGTCTTGTCTCAAATAATCAATGCACTGAACCTTTCTTATGAAGTTATCTTCAAAAAGAAGAAGAAAGATATTTAAACATTCACACATAAATTAACCATATGATTATGGTTTAAGTCCATTGGGCCTAGCCCATATGGGGAATGATACATGTTCAACAATACATATGGTAACTCTAAAATTTCTTAACGTATCTTTACAAAAACTGGAAACATTTTGTTAGAGGTTACTATTATTTTAACTAAACATTTGTTATTTTTTTATTATAATTATTTAGACTCAAACTCTGAATATTTCGAGTATTATCATCAAAGTATAGTGCAATGAAATGTTTAAAATTAAGAAATAGAAAAAGTATGCATAACTTTAATTTGTTGTTGAATAATCTTAAAAGATCTTTTCTTTATATTCTTAATTGAAAGCCTTTATATTTTCACATATAGTTTATTTTTAATGTTTCATTTTCCTTTCCTGTCCTTTATTGTTATTATTTATTGCACCATATGTTAACGGGCATCCTCGGGTAATATTGTGGTATCATTGGCAGAAATACTTTATTGCCATTGGCAGAATATTGTTGTGCTCATGTACTACACTAAGCCTCATGAACTGAGGCAAATTTTGTTTTATTTTTTTAAATATTAAAACCTTTCAAAAATGCATTTAAAATAGAAATAACACATAATTAAATGAAATATAAAACTAAAACCTAAATACAACTTAACTATCTATCTAACTAACATATTTCTAGGTGAGAAGCAATGCTATCAAGGACAAAAGCAGCAAAATGCTAAGAGCAGTTTGACATGCTTTGTAAGGAATTCTGTGTGCCAGTTTCAAAATAACCACTGGGAGATTGTAGTTCAAAATGAGCTCCTTCTATTGGTTATAAACATCTAGCTCAAATAAGTAGAGCTTCTTCTATTGGTCATAAACATCTAGCTCAAATAAGTAGTTATCTGCAAAATCACAACTCTATATGTAGAAAGTAAGAATGGTTTCTGTCAAGACTTCCCATGAAATTAATTTTTCTTTTGTTGGAATTTTCCCTAAATAATTTAAAAAAGGATGTGTTAAAAAGGCAATTAGCCTTGTTTCTGTCTGTACATAGACACCTAGTGTACATGAAGGATTATTAAAGTTATAGAGACTAAAAGTTAAGAGTTGTAAGTGCTTGTGTATCACAAGGCAACAAAACTGAAGATTAATAATTTTTGAAAAGTTTCTTTTGAAATAAAAATATTAAAACTTAGATAATGTAAACACTGAATTATACATTATAATGCTAATTTCATTGACATACATTGATAGTAAAGATGCTTAGTTAAATTTTGAAAAACCTCTTGACATGTACAGAAAGGAGACCAATAACCACAGGGTTAAGAGAAATAAAAAGTTAAAAAATTCATAAATATTGAAAATTGAAAGATCTTTTACATAGTATAAAAAAGGAAAATAAAGTACTTTTCTCTATATTATTGGTGTTTTGTTCTTGTGTATTTAACATTTTAACTATTTTTACCAATTTTAATGCATATACATTTAATGCTAATTTTGGCATAGAAATTCAGCCTTTATCATCAGAAACTGCATTCAAGTAATCCATAGGAATTTTTATATATGGCTTGATATTCATTTCTCTTACAAATGACACAAATATTTGATATTTTGAAGTGAGTAGATAAGAAATGTTTTTATATCTGTCCAGATATATCCAATTCTCTACTTAAACTGAATTGATTTTTCAAATCTGGACTCTATTTGGTATTTTTTATAAGTAGACATTGAAAAAACTAAAATGATTACCTTCACACTTGAGCATAAGAGAGTCATAGCGATATCCTTGATTACAAATACACTCAAAACTTCCTACTGTGTTAACACAGTTTCCATTCTGACATACCATTCCCTGACACTCATCAACATCTGTATAAAAAAAACATAAGGATCACACATCAGACTATCATAACAAGTGGGTCAAAAATAATTGAATAAGAGTGTGAGCCAATATTTAAGTCTGTAATTTCTACATCGGTTGAACAGATTTGTATACCCAAATGCTAATGCTTAAAGACTGTAATTTTAGTTTTTGTATTTGTAAAATCAAAGTTGTCATATTTCTAGAACCCAATGTACTTGACAATAACAAATCAATATGTTAAAGCTATGAAAATAAAAGGTTTACATCAATAAATACCTATAAATTGGTTTAAAATACATTTTTTTTTGTTAACTGAAACTTTGTGGATAAGTTGTAGGCTTTTATCTATATATAACTTTAGTTAACGTGTAATTGACATAAATATTCAAGGTCTGAAATAAAATGTTTTTTTTATGAATTTTTAAAAAACTTTCTGAATAAAACTCTGCTGAACTTACCATCTTTTGTGCCAGTCATGGGGTTTATATATGTTCCAGGAGATGTGCTGCATAATTTCTTATGATCCTCTGAAATATGCAAAAACCTAATCACATTCCCTTACTTCCTACATCAATTTTTTTTATAAGCTCTTTCTTTAATTTTTATCAAATTCGATATTAACTGAACATCAGCTTTGCTATCTAAGAGTCATCTATTGTTGACAAACTAATTAGGTAAGTATACTTTACAGTTAATACTAACATCAGTAAAAATCAAATTTATCAAGTGTGATAATTAGTATTATATCAACATATTATATATATATATATATATTATTTTTTTATTTCCAAGAGTTGCTATGAATAAGTAGTTTCATATGGATTGTGTACAAAAGCTATGATATTTATAAAGCCTTCAGTAATAGTGACATTTTAAAATAAAAGTATTTTCATCGCATTATCTGTTGGTAAAAAAATTCCAGCAATATATACATATACACACACACAAATATATATACATCAGTTCTCACATAACTGTACACAAGTTTTAGCTAATGAAACATTTACAAGCAGAATCAATAGTTAAAGCTTCCTGCTGTGAGATAAGATATAACATGTAGATCCTATGGTCCTCCTTTTAGTCAAATTTTAAGATGGTTAACTTTTCTTTAGATTTTCAAACATTCCAAACACAAAAGTTTACTTTTGTGAAATAACTAAAATTTTATCTCCAGATCTTTTGTTAATGAGAACATGCAAATAAAAAGGAATAAAATTACAATTTGATTTTCAACCTATAAAGCATACTTTTAGAAGTAAATAACTCACCAACATTTTTTTTGTTAAAATGGAGATTATTTTGGATTAATAACATCACAATCTTTTGTTTACATAGTATTAATAATACAAACCCATTTTTTGATTTCCATTAAATAATCACTGTTTTTCCACAAACAAAAATATTATAAATCAACAGGAAAATACTGGCAAAATTGGTTTTATTTCTTACCATAATGATTTTAAGAAATAGTAATCTTAGATGAAATTTCTTGTTAGTCAGTCTTACATTACGTTAAATGTATTTCTAGAAAGATTAATAACTCTATTCAGATTAGAATAGAAATAATTACATGTAAAATTTTAGAGTAATTTCCAGTTACTGCTTGCAGCCTAATATTTTTCTTGAAAAAATTTCAAACCCTGGGTTAAAGAATGCTTACATTCCATATAAATTTAATAATACAATTTGTGTTTCAGACATAGATACAGTATCTAAGGAATATTTCTTCCCATTTGTTCAAACAAGGTATATTGTACTTTGCATAAAATTGCAAATTAATAGTTGACATATTCACAAGATGCTTTATATACAAGAACTGCTACTAATTTATTCATAACAATAAAAGGCAAAGTGCTTATGGTGTACACATATGTGTTAGATTTCAAGGCCAAGTCTGATTCAGTAGATTATAATACTATCACAACTTCATTGTTGTAACATTTATATCTGAGGTATCATGTATAGATAAAAAAAAAAAAAAAAAGTGCATTTTCTCATTGTAATAAATTCCTTTCATGAATAAATATACTTTCATTTCATTTTGCTTAAAGATATGCTGTTACTGGTTGGTATATGTTTCACAAGAACCATAAGTTATTGATATATAATACTTACCATATAAGATTAACATGCTGATATTAGTTTCATAATATCTGACAATACAAAGTAATTTAATCTAAAGCACTTTTTTTTCTATCAATCACTTTTGTGTAACACAAAAATAAATAAACTATTTCTTAAATGAACTACTTATCATTCTCTGTGTTCATTTTCATGATTTCATTGATTTATGAAACATCAAAGGTTTTTATGTACTAGTGAAAAAAGGTATAAAATAAAAGAATAACTGAATAACACAATCCAACAGGAAACATATAACTCACTTAAATATTCAAAATGAAAAACTTATATGATTAATTGTGAATTAAAAACACAAATATTCCATTTTACATTTTAATAAAAGATATCAAAATATTTTTTGCTCAATAATCTAACATTATGTTTTTTTAAATTTAAAATCTCCATGATGCTTGTGTATCATTTTACCATTAGCAACAAAATTAAAACAGCTACAGAGCATGTAGCAACAACAGCAATAAAAAGAGCAACAAATTAATAATATTTAAATAATGACTAAACAAAAATGAGACACATGGGAAAAAAAAAACTGATCTAAGAACAATGTCATGTACACAATGCCAAGAGTTTATTCTTGTGATGGATGCCTATTCTTCAATCTGAACTTTGTGCTTAGGTGGAGTAAAATATTTAAAATATGCAACAGAAAAGAATTACATGAAGTTACATTCAAGTATCAGTTTTGAGAGTTTGTCAATTTAAATCTTCCTTTACAAATAAATGAGAAACATTACATGATGTACATGAAAAAAAGTTTAGGGCAGCTTGTATTATCATTAAGCCATGTGAGAAATATAAAACTAAATGCTTTTCTTTTTTCTTTTTCTTCTTAACAACAAATTTAAAATAGGTAGTGATAGTTCTGATATATATACACTGAGTGGTCACAAGTAAGTAGACACCTAATTTTTTGACATTTAACTGATTTATGCTAACTAATTTCTGTTCACAGAGCACTATATAAATGAAATTGGTCCGCACACTAATTACCTTGTGC